AAAGTGTACGAGCGATCCTATGGTCGCGTCTTCAGGTTGTGGGGCAAAGTCATGTGAATCACATATTCATATGTGATTTTGTACATGATGCTAGTGTAAAATCTCATGTGATTTGACCATTCTCTTAAATAGGTATGTTCCCGTTTGAACCCGACTCTCTCTCTCTCTCTCTCTCTCTCTCTCTCTATATATATATATATATATATATATTCAAGGGAGGAGCTACGAGGGGTTGGGCGAGGTAACATGCACACGCTTAACCGATTTTCGTTAGTAAAGTTTTTATAGGGTATATGAAAGATGCACCGCTAAACTTTAAGGGTGCTCGGGATATCAGGAATTACAAGGAACATCAATCAAAAAGTCGGAAAAAAATCCTTCAAAATCAACTAAAAAACCAAAAATATCTCTCAAAATCAACCACAAAAACCGAAAAATCCCTTGAAATCAACAGTAAAACTTAAAAAATACATTAAAATAAACCAAAAAGCTTATTGTCTAAAAATACATTGAACAACTTTGCATTCCTTTGATCCACCTTAAAAGTGCATTCACGCGACAAAATCCTAAATTCGCCACTGTGTATGTTATAACAGTGATGGTTAGGACCTAACTTATATACATCTCAATTGATCTAATAGCTTTTATTTTCATACGAAGTAGTCATTATCGTATAGTAAAAATGTGGGTCGGCCAACATTTGACAAAATGTATCTATTAGTTGTATCTATACTAAAAGACATTAATGTCTTTATTAATTATTCCGTGTCGTCAACTACAACAGTATAACAATGAAGTTCATAATTCAATATTTATGAATTAATTCAGATAACTATAAAATTATTTTTTTATTTTTTTTATCAATTATAATGTTAACATTTTAATTAATTATATATTTAAATAAATATATAAAACTACAAAGATAAAATAATTTAATATAAAAGATCATAAAAAAATCGTAAACAGAGAATGTTGTAATGGTTTCTTGTAATGAAAATATAATTTTTCCTTCCCTTTTTATAGCAATAGTAAAATACATATCATGTTTTCGATATTTACTTACCTTTTTAAGCTTGTGTTTTCAAAAAAAAAATCTATATATTTTTATTAAAAAAATATTACTTTTTGTAAATAAAATATAATGCAATTTAAACTAATTTATATTTGAAGTTTTAATAAAAAAAACGACAATTGTGAATTTTTAGAGATTGCTAATAGAACTGATGAAATGATTATTTGAATATTCAAAAACTTAAATAAGAATTGATTAGTTACTTTTTAAGTTTTAAAGCCGAAAAAAAATGATAGATTATTTTTAAAAAATTTAAAGTTCCAGAAGAATTAATAATATATTCTCTGAAAATATTGGTGAAATGAAAATTAAGAATTAACATATGAATTTTTAAAGTTCTTATTCAATATTTATATGGACAAACCATACGACTATATACATATGATTAAAATTTGTAACAATACAAAATAAATGATAAATTATTTTTTATACATAACAAAGCGTATTGTCTTTTACAATTTATTATGATTGATATGCAATATAAATAAAAATTATAATTATCATAGACTAATAATTATTATTATCTATTAATTAAAAAAACAAAAAATAAAAGAGAGAGAAAGAGAATAAAACAATGTTATTTTTCAAATTTTTAGATCATTTAATGTTATTTATCAGGTGTTTTTTAACCTTGTTAATATAGGTAACTTTTTAAAAAAAAAAAACAGAAAATTATTTAAAAAAAACAAATACAACATTTTTTAAAAAAAAAACAGAAAATTATTTAAAAAAAACAAATACAACAGCTTTTATACGAGGAACACAATCAAAGAGATAAAGCAACCATATCTTTTCCGGCCCTTATTAATCACACATGTTTCACGTGAAAAACACCGTTGGCATTGCAAAATAGGCTATAACTGTAATTTCAATTTTTTTAGTGACTTTATCTTATTCAAGCAAGTATTCTGTTAGAATTAATAATTATTTTAATTATATTTTAAATTTTATATTTAAAAGAAGAGTTATCATGTATTTGATTATATTTATCTACAGTCAGTTACACGAATTCAAACATGGAGTTTAATAAGTTGTGCTTACGCACAATGTATTTATAATCTTGAATTTTAAGTAATAATCATCAATAAGTAATACTTCATATATATAAAAAATGGTTTTTAAGAGTTTTTGTCAAATACTTTATAATATCTTTACTATCTTATTAAGAAAATTTAACAAAAGTCTTAAAGTCTTAAAATACTAAATGACCAAACTACCATTTATACTTACTTTTTTCACTTTTTTACCCCCTTCTCTCCTCACATATACTCATCCTCTCACAATCGATTTTTTAAAATTATAATTTTAAATTTACACTTTATACCTCCTATACTTAATTAATTAAATTACTTTACGTCTTTTACTTTTAAATGTTTCATTTTAAACATTTATCAAATTAACATACATAATCGTATATCAATTAAAACATGTTTAAAAAATACATTTTTATTTTAACAAGTTACATCATTATAATCATCTCGTTAATACCTTCGAAATGAGTCTAATATTGAATAGTTTTTGACTTAATTATATTATTATATATTATATATACTGTGAAAAAATATTTTTAATATTTACGATTTATACTTTTATAGTTATTTATTTATATATACTATATATATTTTGGGGTTAGGATGTCCAAATTGCACTGTATAATATGTTTTGAATTAATATGTTCTTGGGTTTTTTTGAAATATATATACATGTATTAATTCAACCTTAATCTGGGTTTCTGGACAAGAAAGAGGGTAAGCAGTTGAAATTTCATTCTAAAACCCATCTTTTTTTTGTCTTTTCATGGCTTATGATCTGTCAAATTTGTAGTTTTCTT